GTTCTGGACCTGTTTCGGTAATAGTCGGGTGATAACTTGCAATTATACGTCGCCTTTCACCTGAAACTTTTCTTTTCATCAGCCTGACGCATGTGTCTGACACCTGCGGAAACCCAGCTGAAAAATATCTTGCCCACAAAATATACAGTCAATTCACTTTACACTTTCCTATTCGATGGATTCCAAGATGGAAGTCAAATCCATTGATTAATAGTCCAGCCTTCTCCCAGAACCATATTGCTCCACAGCTATATTGACCGAAAGCTGGAAAGGGGCTGGGAATATTGTAGTGGCTCAAGAATTGTCACTTTGCTGCGTTAGCTCCAACAACATTTTGCAACCATATAGCGTCTCAGAGCGCTTGACAATGACAGAGCACAACTCGAGCTGGGGGAGGGGGGAGGTGACCATAGGTGCGGTTGAAGAAGAAGGTTATCAGCGCGATCTAAAGATGGGGAAGGAGGGGGCAAGGCGAAGGGATAGAGGAAGAGTGTTCCAGAGGTTCGGGGCGTGGTGGCTGAAAGCATTTCATCACGAGTGAGAGAGAGGGGAATTCAGACAAACAGCGTGTTTATTTGAGAACGCGTAGAAAGAAAGCAGAATGTGGACCTTATTTTTGGGTGGGAGGGGGGAACCTATTAACCTTTAAAGGTTAATGCAGTTTCTCAATCATATTTAATTAGAGTGAAGCACTGAGGCCTCCGTGGCAATTACTTGTTGAGGATAGCACAGTGCTGTAAATACACGTGGGTCCAGAAAATCGCGATGGAAAGGTCAGAGCTTAATAAGGCCCTAAGGGTTCAACTGACACATGTTAATCAGTCCTCTGAGCAAGGGCACAGGGGTGAAGTGGTGTCAGCCTGTGTGCGTGTGTGTGTGTGTGAGAGCCTGGCTCAGTTGGTAGCACATTTGAGTCAGAAGGTTGCGTGTTAGAACTTTGAATTTATTCTAATAATAATGATGATAATAATAACAATAATCCTTGCATTTGATAATAATAATAATAATAATAATCCTTGCATTTGATATAGCGCTTTTCACGTCGGGAGGACGTCCCAAAGCGCTTCACAGAATAGACTGTAAAGTGAATTGACTGTATATTTGTGGGCGAACGCGGCAGCCAATTGCGCACAGCAATGTCCCACAAACAGTCGTAGATTGAAAATGACCAATTTATTATTGTTTTTGTTTTGGAGGGATTATTATTAGGCTCTGTGTGGAGTAAGGAAACTTGCCCAAGGTTTCGCCCTGCCTGGAATTGAACTCAGGGCTCTCACTTGCAAAGCGAGTGCTCTAACCACTGAGCTACAGGACTCCACATAGCGCCTATGTGATAGCGCCTTATCACATCTTTCAGACGTCTAAAAGCGCTTCACAGAATATACTGTGGAGTGCAGTGACTGTGTATTTTGTGGGCAAAACATAGCAGCCAATTGTGCACTGCAGTGTCCCACAAACAGACGTGGATTGAGTGACCACATTATTCTTATTCTTTTTTGTTGAAGGGATTATTACCCTCAGAAAGCAATCCACCAATTGACTAACAACCGGGTTCCTATTTAGTGCTAGGTAAACAGAGGCGTACTGGTTTTGGTCTCTCCTCTTACGCCCACACGAAAAGTAAATTGTTGTGAGGTTCTCGGAGGGTCTCGGGGGTTGGGGTTAAGGTAGTCTAGGCTGACCCTCCAGTGTATTGCTGGGTATGTGTCGCATTATCAGAGGTACTGTCCTATGGATGAGATATTAACCCAGGTGCCATCTGTTCAGATCCCTTGGCACTATTTGAAAAGGGAACAGACTTTCTCTCTCCCGGTATCCTGGCCAACAATCCCCCAATGTAAATTTGATCACTCAGTTCATGGCTGTTTGTGGGACGTTGCTATGCACAAATTGGCTGCAGAGTTTGCCCACAAAATACACAGCCCTGCACTTTACAGTGTATAGCGCGAAGCACTTTGAGATGTCGGAGTCAGGCTCAGCCAACACTAGGCGCTTCGAGACTCTACCCCACGTGAAGAATGCTGTATAAATAAATAAATAAATAAATAAATAAATAAATAAATAAATTGTTGTTGCCGTGCAAGTGCTGAGATAGGATTTAAAGGAGTAAATGCACAACCAGCTCCAAGGTCTGAGTCACTTTATTGCTGGAAGCCACACTGCTTTGCCTCCAGCAGAATAAGCAGCCGTTAATCACTGTGGTTCTGGGCTCCTGCACTGCTGTCACTCTCTTTACCTAGCGTGACTGGAACCTCATTAACTATACTGTTACCCTCGCTCATTGTCAACAGCCCCGATTAATTACCCTAGGGTGGACACACACACAACTGTCTCTCATTCCATCATCTGAAGCTCCTAAGGGTTTATACGCGTACATCGAGTCCTGTAGCTCAGTGGTTAGAGCACTCGCTTTGCAAGTGAGAGACCTGAGTTCAATTCCAGGCAGAGGGCGAAACCTTGGGCAAGTTTCCTTACTCCACACAGAGCCTAATAATAATCCCTCCAAAACCAAAAACAATAATAAATTGGTCATTTTCAATCTACGACTGTTTGTGGGACATTGCTGTGTGCAATTGGCTGCCGCGTTCGCCCACAAATATACAGTCAATTCACCTTACAGTATATTCTGTGAAGCGCTTTGGGACGTCCTCCCGACGTGAAAAGCGCTATATCAAATGCAAGGATTATTATTATTATTATCGAGGGTATCACAGAGGTTTGGAATGCCGGTGAGGGTTTGTCACAGAATGGAGAAATGGAGGGGAGGTTTCAACAACCAGCTGAGTTTTGTTGTCCACCAGCAAGCTCACAGGGAGTTCCTGGTACTGTCAGCCGCCTAGTGAGGGCTCAAACCCACCCTTGTTGGATGTCGAATAACCAACTAGTGACTATCCTCCTAGCGGGTAAAGGCTGAATTGCCTCCAAGGTGACATGTTTGGCAATGGAATGTCAGAATCAAGCCAAACCTCTGGCATAGTCTGGTTCCTGAGCCAGGCAGGTCCCCAGTACTCCAGGGCACTGCTCGCCAGACAGCGACATGAATGGCAAGCTGCGCGGTTTTAGTTGGTCAGACTCCAGCAGTTACCCCAACGCACACTCTGGGCTCCCCCCAAGCCTTGGCTCTTGCCAATCCGCGCCTAATACTTTCTGGAATTAGGTAAGCAGGGTGCTTCCCTCCAGGGAGAGCGAGAGAGTGCGCGTACCATTCCGACAATCTATCTCTGGAATTTCCATGTGGAAGTGGGATGCATGGAATTCTCAGTTTGATTGGAGACTCTCAAGCAACGGTGATGGGTTTCTGCATGTGTCACACCCAGCTGACCAAAAAAAAACCTGAATTTAAGAATTTCCATAGTTGTGTGCAATCTAATTTTAAGAGAAGTTGGACTTCACTTGATAGGATTTTACTGTCTGGTTGTTCGTAGACAAATGTTGCAGGCTAAGACTAGGTGGAATTTCTGGGCTCTGTAGCCTGTAGCATCCAGCTGGTTTAGAAGAGCAATGCTTTCTCAAATGTATTTTATCCAATATTTCTCTCCTGGATTATCTCCCGGGTCATAATCCATATCCTTTGACAGAGCTGGGAGTTTAAAGACACACCCACACTGGTAATACAATGTAATAATCCTTGTATTTGTTCACTCACAAAATACTCACACTCACACCACTTTACAGTACATCCTATGACCTGGTTTGAGGTGGCCTAGCGATGTGATGAGGCTTTGCCATAACAAATGCAACGATTATCACTATTATTATTTAGCGCCTTATTACATCGTCGAAAGATCGGTGGGCATTCTGTTTGCCTATAGAGTACACAAGCACTACAATCAACAGTAACGTGCAGCCAATTGCACACAGCAGTATCCGGCAAACAGCTGTGGATTATGTGGACTATTTATAAATTTATTTGTTTGTAATTTTTTTTTGGAGGACTTATTACCCCCGGAAAAGCCATCCGCCAATCGACTAACAACCAGGTTCCTACTTACTGCTGGGTAAACTGAGGCGTGTGGAGTAAGGAAACTCGCCTAACGTTTCGCCCCATCCCGGAAATCGAACCTGGATTGAATTTGCGAGGCGAGAGCTCTAACCAATGCGCTGCAGGAGTCCACAGGGGGCTACAGATGGGGCTACAGACCAGGCAGGAGTGGCCCAGCTCCTTCTCATTTGCATCAGACTCCACACCCTCTTCTGTGCTAACAACCCAAAGGGCGTTTCTGATTCACTTCACCTTGCAATCAATCTATTTCATAAAGGGTTCATTTTTTTTTTAGAAATCTGACAAAGCTGTTGAAAGACCAGCTATTTATAGCCAATGCCTTACAACAATTACCTATGGGTTTCAGCGCTGATTGAAAACCTAATTGAGTTTCGCAAAATGCATCTCAGGCCAAACGCGCGATGATTCATTAAGCCATCACTTCTCTCACTAGTGTGGATTAGGAAATTGGTTTGTGCAGACACCTTCAAATGACAGTGTTTTCAGCCTTGCTCCATGGTACACAGCTATACTAAGGATGTGACTACATCTCTGAACTGAACCGATTCCATTTTATCCCTTTGAGTCTCTTGTTTGCCTCCGGACGTAATTTGGCGGAAAGATTGTCAGAACTAATTTGAGCACTAATCTGGAGTCCAAGCTCCTCGTTCTCTTCAAATCATTTACACACACACAAACGGGGGGAGTCAAGAGAGGGATTTTTCCTTACTCCGCACGCCTCTGTTTACCTAGCAATAAATAAGAGCCCGGTTGTAAGTCAATTGGCGGATCGCTTTTCCAGAGATAATAATTTCTTCAAAACAAAATAAAAAATAATAAATTGGTCACTCAATCCACAGCTGATTGTGAGACACTGCTGTGCGCAATTGGCTGCCGGGTTTCATCCACAAAACATACAGTCAATTCACTTTACAGTGCATCCTGTGAAGCTTTGAGCCGTCTAGAAGACGTGATAAGGCGCTATATCAAATGCAAGGATTATTATTTATTGTAATAGAAGAGAAATTCCAAGGCAAGAACGGTGAGTACAGACCCTGAGCTCAGCAGACCCTGTGAGGGAGCTCCATGCTTTTCCTCAGTCGCCTGCTGAAGTGATTGTGGAACATTCCATCTGAACTTCCTTCTCTGCTTCTTCCGACAGGAGAATAATCACCGGAAACTCCAAATCAGTATCATCGGGATTCATCAAGGAGATGGTAGTTGTCTTCCTGACCGGTATCTTTAGCTTCCCGCTCGCTGTGGTGACGCAGATTATACCTTTGTATAACATTCCGCACACAATATGGAAAATACCCACCGTGAATTTAATGATAGTACAACTGGATAAGCTTGAGGAGACCATTGAGGAGAAAACTCACCTGGGTCTAAATTCACTCTATCCTATGTAGCATTTCACAGTGATCAGAATGGAGCTTGAACCCACAACCTATCCAATTAGTCCCACTCCCCCATTCTTACCCTATAACCTTGTGTTTTTTAACTTCTCAAGTAAATATCTAATTCCCTTTTGAAACCTACTATTGAAGTAACTCCTCGAGTCCATCCTAATATCACCCTTCCTGACCCTGAACCTGTGCCCTGTTTTCCTGCTGCCTTGGTTAACAACAACAACAACAGCAATTTGCAGTTATCTAGCGCCCTTCACGCAGGGCAGTGACTCGGAGGGCTTTCCAGTTCATTGAATTTAAGTGTGCTTTATAATGTACAAATATGTTTATTTTTCCTACATAGTTGATCATTTCCCCTTCTCTTTCTCCCTCATTCCCTCCCTCCTTCCCTCCCTCCTTCCCTCCCTCCCTCTCTCTCTCTCTCTGTCTCTCTCTCTCCGCCAGCTCTGTTTGTTTTCATCGTGTGGACGGCAGATCGGAACAATCCCCGAAAGAGCAAGGAAAACGCTACGCGAGGCTGGTGGCTGAAGCACGAAATAGGGCAAGGGGTCCTGCTTCACTTTCTGTTCCTGGCTCTCCTGGTCATCTACTCCCAACCGGAACATCAGGTCTCCATTGGACTCCACGAGATTGCAGGGCCCTGCAACCAGACCAAAGCCATAACCTCAGCATTGGGGGTGGTCGAGTACAGACGCGCCTACCTGTGCACTGAAGACTATGATAAGGCAATGTTTGACTGGCATTGTGTGCCCGGAGCTAAGCCTCCGTCGCACGGGACGGACTGGTATACCATCTGTGGCACCCCATTCCCCAACCACATGGAGTACATCTACACCGTGATCGCAAGCTGCCTGCTAAGCCTTGCCGTCTACAGGATTGCGCTCAATGGGCGGACACAGCATGTGAAGGGGATTAAGTCTGATTAACACCCATCTCTGGAGAGTGGAGTGAGCTAAACCAAACCACTGTAGGATTGGATAAAGAGAGAGATGGCATGAGTTTCGCTAGGATCCAGGCCCCTTTTAACAATTGCTTGTAAGCTTCAACCTTGTGGGGGTGGGAGGACGGGGGAGTGGGGGGTTGGGATGGATGGCGGGGGAGGTTTGGGGGAACGCAGAGCTAGTTGCAGTATCTAGACCCCGAACAAGGAAAGCTTTAAGGAAACTAATTGCGTTACTTAAATGGAATGACGAATATTGAAATAAATGAAACCTGTTCTTTTAATCCCAGAGAGATGTTTATTGGGCACTTGTCTACTGTGAATGAATACTATTTTAGATTAGATTTCCTTTCATAGCAATAATAATAATGATCCTTGCATTTGATGCAGTGCCTATATTGTCAAGATACTGCAAATTACTTTACAATAATTACTATTAAATGTAGTGACTGTGTATTTGTAGGCAAATGCACAAACCAGTGTCCCACAAAAAGTCAGGAGGTGAATGACCAATTTGTACCTGGAGGGTTGTGGCTAGGACACTCTTTTTTATTAATAATATTCTGGGTTCCTTACTGTCCACCTGAACAGGCAAACAGGACCTGGGTTTAACGTCTTATCTGAAGGACAGCACAGCGCTCCGCCAACACTGCACTGGAGTGTTAGTCTGAACTGTGAGTTCAAAGTCCCCGACATAGTGCTTGACCTTTCTGACCCATCGCCGAGAGCGCTACTGACTGAGTCAAGCCTTGTAACAAGGGCAATGATCACAAGTTCTTGTTAGCATTCACCTACAAAATACACAGTCGCTACATCTTACAGCAAACCTCGTGAAGCACTTTGAGACATTCTCCCGACAGGAAAGGCGCTGTATCAAATGCAATGCTTATTATTACTCATGAGATGGTAGGACTGGCCTTGAATTGAAGTACGAATCAGTAGATATTTCACTTGCTGCTCCACATTTATTTCAATCAGTAAAGTGGCTGTTTTGCTCAGTGCTGTAGCGTTACAGTTTCATTATAATTATTATTTTGCAGAATATCTTAAAGCGATTGGAATATTACATGCAGAGTCCTTCGAAAACTCTGAAGGAATGGAAATTGCAGCAATAATAAGTGCACGCCCCCCAAAACGTAGCGTGACAGACAGATACTGTCAAATTCTTATCGCTCTACGCATTTGGGATTCGTTTCAGCAACCAGAGACTTCGGTTCTGGGGACAAAATCGGAAAGTGTTGTGAAATACTGTTGGCTTCATTATACTTTCCACTCTCCAATCCCATTAGAGGAATTGGGTTATGTGACTGAAGGAGAATGCATTGGTGAGATTCTTTTGTACAAAGGTATAACGTCAAGTTCCTATCCACCCAAGGGCTTCTCATCACAGGGATTAGTGAGACAATGATTGCATTTAAAAATCATCCGGTTATAAATATATAACTACTTCCCAGTAATATCCTGGTGGACACCATTGAATGTGGATGAGACATCATTCTCTGCCCTTCTCAGCACCTGGTATTTTTGTGGCTGAACAGATCGATTTCAAGAACCCCAACTCTCACCTACAAATCATTCCGCGCTCTGACACTTCCCTACCTCCCCGACTTGCTCAGACCCCACTCCTCCTTTTGCTCAGCCGACTCTGGCTTCCTGCTTGACCCTCGTCCCCTCCACTCTTCTGGTGACTGTGTTTTCAGCCAGTACGCCCCAACCCTCTAGCCTTAATCTTGCAGCCTAGCCCCCTCTTTGCTCGTCCTCGGATCACGCTTGAAGTCTTCCTCTTCCACCGTACAGTCACCTCCACTTTCTCCTTGGCTCTGCGTCAAACTATACCACCGTTAAGTCTCATACTGTATGAGCGTGATAGAAAGAGAGACGGAGCGAGAGGGAAAGACGGCAACCATACCGTGGGGCCCCTCAGACCTCGGAGCCCTAAAACTTGAGTTGGTTGGCTTATTGGTTAGTCCAATAATAATAATAATAACAATAATAGTCTCAGAAGAATCTAAGGGGACTATATAATGTAGACCATGATAAGCTGTTTTACCTTGTACTGAACAGTAGCACCAGAGGACATGACCTATAAAGGAGGGTAAATTCAGAACAAATCTGCGGAAACACTACTTCAGTGAGCGAGTAGTAAATGTATGGAACAGGCTCCCTAGGGAAGCAGAAAGTGTTGAGTGTTTCAAAAACAGATCAGATAAATTTCTGTTTGGAAACAATATCTCGGGCTACAATAAGGAATGCAGTTTGGGACATGACATGTGCAAGCGACAGCCTGGATGGTGGAACTGGATGCACCTCGGTCTTCCTTCGCCAAGCGAACTCTTATGTCCTGATGTCTGGCCCTGGCTGGCAGGCATTGGGAAGGAGGTCACAGTGGAGCTTATTCCTGTCTTCACGTGAAATTCATGGAGAGGATACTTTGCAATAAGAGGCACTAGGTTGTGAACAGGAAAAGGAACCCTGGTTGATTTTAACCTCACTCCTAACCCAACTAATTCTAATGAGACCAGCCATCAAGCCTTCCAACATTGGACTCTCCTGTTAGAGCGGAGTTCTCTCAGGACAAAGGACGTTCTTCCTGTTAAAAACAAATTGCTGTGTTTTGGTTAGTCAGTGCTTAGAATGCTAGACATGTCTCATCCATTCCTGAAAATTGTTTCATCATTCCTTTCTGCGCAGTGTCCTGGATGTCAAAAGGACAGCGTTTTGGGGGTCATTGAACCCTTTCATTGATTTAATTTTGAAAGTGCGTCACCAAGGGGCGTAATTTAAAGAAGCCGTGGGCGCCAGCTATCTGGATGATAGCTCAGGTTTCCAGCCTATACACAGATGTCAATTAAAACGTCATGAGGCAGCAGATGTTTGTGAAGAACACATCAGTGAGATAGACGCACTCACACGGCGAAGCCTTTAGATGCCGGAGTTGGACATTGCACCTGCTCAGCTCTAAGATCAATAAGACGAAAGACATTGCACTGATGAAACGTACTTGTTTTCTTTGCCAGAGGTGACAAAAGAATTTGCCACCCTTCTGTAATTGCTATTCAATTACCTGCTCCTTCGTGAGAATCGAGACAAACTCGAGATGCGATCTATAATACTAACAATGTTTGCATTTGATGTAGCGTCTTATCGCGTTGTCAAAGCACCTGACGCAATTTATTGTAAAGTCTAATGACCTTGTAGTCGTAGGCAAACACAGCAATCAATTTGCCCACAGCATTGTCCCACAAACAGCCATGAATTGAACAAACAATTTTTTTCCGGGGGGATTGTTGGCCAGGACACCAGGACACTTTTTGAACAGTGGCACGGGATTTTTTTATATCCACTTGAAACTGTATGCGTCAGCCTGTTGTCGTAGAATCCTGCAACACAGAAGGAGGCCATTCGGCCCACTGTGCCTGTGCCGGCTCTTGGTAAGAGCTATCCAATTAGTCCCACTCCCCTGCTCCTACCCCATCCCCTTGCAGAAAAACCCCACAAAATCCTCTCATCTCCCCCACTAGTTCTTTTGCCAATTATCTTAAATCTGTGTCCTCTGGTTAACGACCCACCCGCCAATGGAAACAGTTTCTCCTTATTTCCTGTATCAAAACCCCTCATAATTTTGAACACCTCCACTGTGTTATCGCAAAAGCAAACCGAATGTCTGCTTTGTGCCACCGCATAATAACATAACAATGAAGGAACAGTGTAGTGAGTGAGTGAGTGTAACATAATCACCGCAAGTGTGTTGGGTGACTGTCTAGACTCGGTTACCAAGAAATATCAGCTTCTGCTGTAATGTAATATATAATCCCCAGTGATGGGGAGTCAGTCTACTCTGGGACAAATGGTGATCTGATGGGCTTGCGATTATAAATTAAGATCTCACCTGAACTTTGTATGAACCACTCCAATTGGCCACCCCTTTGCGGATTGCAACTTATGCTCAGAAAACTTAACGGGGGGAAACGAAAGCTCTCTCCGCAGTCGCAGCTGCTTCTGCTTCGGATTGTGTCTTGGCAGATGTTGCTCAAGAGTGATGGATGCCAGAAGAAAAAACAACTGGAAAAGCATCTTCGCTTTAAACCGAACAGGCGGCGGTCAGCAAGCTCGCTGATCAACCTCAAGCTTGTTTCACCTCGCGCTGCGTACTACACGGAGACTGCCTACGTTGTAAATGGCTCGAGATTTATTTGAAGGCTTCTTGGTGCGATCAGCAATCTTCTCTTTTATTTCTCTCACCCTGCCTCGTAACACTCATTATCCTCCGTTGGATTTTTGTGCTGCTCCCAAGCCTTACTGTTGCTGTTCAAGGCTATTCTTGACCTTTGAGACTTTTCTCAGCCCCCCCCCCCCCTCGCACCCACCCTACAGTCCTAGTTTTGATCATTTCCTCCTTTTCCACACACGGGATAACTGTGCTCTCAGCATCCCTTTAGCTCATTTTTCAACATTTCCATCTTCCTCCATTTATTGCTGCTACCAACTTGCCCCCAGCTTCCATATCGCTTCAACCTAACTTCCCGATGCCTTGCATAAAATTGTTGACCTCTGCCTTAAATTAAAGTACGTCAAACCAGTTCCACAATGATCTGTGCCAATCCAATGGACACCAAGTTCCATGCCACAGGCATTATACTGCATGAAACATAATGTTGACCTTGTGGGTCCTGTGTTAGGTGCAGGCTGGCAAGAGCCAAGGCTTGAGGACACCAGAGTGTGTGTTGGGGTAACTGCTGGAGTCTGACCAGCTAAAATGGCACAGGATGCCATTGAGAATACTGTCAGGAAAGCTTTCCCGCTGCTACGACCATTCTACCCGTTGGGGCTTTGACGTGCAGGGTTAATGGGGACTGAGTGGGAGCAATCCCTGCTCCCAATGACTGGTCTGCCCTTCCAAGTTAATATGGTTACCAGGATCACCATTCCTAATTGCTACTCACCTCACAAGGGAGAGGACACAGGTTCGATTCCCGGGCAGAGCAAAATCTTCGGCAAGTTTCCTAACTCAAATTTCCTAACTCGACGTGCCTCTGTTTACCTAGCAGTAAGCAGGAACCTGGTTGTTAGTCGATTGGCGGATCGCTTTACCGGGCAGGGGTAATAATTGCTGGAAACAATTAGGTCACTCAATCCACAAATGTTTGTGGGGACACTGCTGTGTGCAATTGGCTGCCGCATTTCACCCACAAAATATGCAGTCAATTCACTTCACAGTTTATTCTGTGAAGCCCTTTGAGACGTCTCAACGACGTGATAAGGCGCTGTATCAACTGCAAGGATTATTATTATTATTATTAATATTAATATCCCTGCTGGAAAATGGCTGTGTAAAGACAGATCAGCCTGGGAGCTGTGATGCCCACGGCAATGGGAGTTCTGCCAACAACCACAGTCTGTGCTCACACCATGCAGATTGGTTACTGGAGAGATGAACATGAAATTGTTGCAGCAACATGGGTCATATTTAAAACAAAAAGTTATTTTAATTCGGAATATTTTTCTACCGCGTGTCCACTTTTTCCTGTTATCCCCGTCAGGCGGATATTTTGTTGCTGCATACAGCACACACATTTCAATGTATTTTCCGAACTGCTTTGATCCGAACTGGGTTCGACCGACGACTACAACAACAACTTGCATTTATACAGGGCCCTTCATGTGGGGCACAGTGCTCGGAGGGCTTGAATGAAATTGCTTGGCAAAGGGGATGGAGTTTAAATTATTATCATTTATCGTATAAAACAGATTATTGCAGTTGAGCGCTTTTCGATCTAAGTTCTTAGCGACAGGTCGATGAAGTAAAAATCATTTTAAAAAATCTTTGCGTTTGATACCGCGCCTGAACACGTCATCGAGACGTCTCAAAGCGCTTCACGGAATATACTGTAAAGCGAATCGACCGTGGATTTTGTGGGTGAAACGCGGCAGCAAACTGAAGTGCCCAAATTTTGTTTAGTGATTATTACCGGTCCCCGGAAAAGCGATCCGTCTCCCAGTCGACTGGCAACCGGACTCCTACTTACTGCAAGGTAAACCGAGTTGTTCGGAGTAAGGAAACTTGCCCGAGGTTTCGCCCTGCCCGGGGAATCGAGCCCAGGTCCTCTCGCTTAGGAGGCGAGCGCTCTAGCTAAAAAGCTACAGGACTCCACAAGATAATTATAAAACA